GTTGTTGACTCGGTGCATTACTATAATGTAATAGAGTTAGTACCATCCAAAAAACTCGGTCGGTGCATTTCATGAACAGATACTATAATGTAATAGAGTTAGTACCATCCAAAAAATTGGTGTAAACTATATTTTTGAATGTTAACACTATTACATTATTGTAAACTATATTTTTGAATGTTAACACTATTACATTATAGTATCTGTTCAAACATATTTTTTCAACCTATTCAACATACATGACCTCCCATATAGAAGAGGTCACTACATATCATTTGAGCACAAGATGCTTGGTATAAACTATATTTACTTATTAAAGAATTGAACAAAGCTCAACATATGATGTATATATTTGAACGGTTTATATTTGAACATGTTTGCTACGTTTGATAGTCATTTTAAGAGTTTATAGTTTATTTTAGAGAAAATTACACTTTTAATCTTGTGACTATTGGATCTTATTAATATTAGTACTCGACTTTAAAAGCTAATAATTTAGTCCTATAACTATATAATTTTTAACACATTTGGTCCTCCCGGCCAAATCATCGACCAAATGTTACCGGAAAAATGTAAATGTTTTTAAATTGGTCAAAAGTACCAAATGTGTTAAAAATTACATAATTACAAGACTAAATTGTTAGTGTTTAAAATCGAGTACTGAAATTAACAAGACCTCAATATCCACAGGATCAAAAATGTAATTTTCTCACTATTTTAACCTATAGTTGCAATTTTAGTTGTATTTGTTAAATTAGTACAGTGAAGGCTTTATAAAACTCTTAATTTCATATGATATCTCTCACATTAAAAAATAATAATAATTACACCCGAGAGTCTATGAGAGTTTAAGCAATGTGTACCTAGATAGTGGTTGTCGATATCCTTAAAAAAAAAAAAAAAAAAAGTTGCTTTCAAATGTATTAGAAGAAACACTCTGATTATGGATTAACAATACTTCATTACATAATTAATAATGATTAAATGAGCAAACTATGAGAAATTAATTTAAATAGAAATTGAAGAGGCCATGAACCTCTTTAACATTTTTTTGTTCAAAAGGCTAAATATAATGATAAAATTAAATTATAAATATTTTAAATTGATAAATATCTATAATATATAAATACTAAAAAATTTCTAGCCAGCGAATTGAACTACTATGCAGTGTGATGACACATCCGTTACCATTTCAAATGGACAATGCTCTTTGTGTGAAAACTAAGGGTTCGTTTACTAATTGAAATGGAAAACTGCACTAGTTAACATGTTTTCTTTTTACTATTCTCAAATTCTCCAATTTTCAGAAAACTAGATAAAATTTTCAATTAGTAAACGGACCCCAGAAAACAAAAAATAAAGAACAGTTTTATGAAGTAAACGGGCCCTAAATCATTTTCACGGCAAATTATATCGTGGACCGCGGTGCATAATCGATTATGCACCGCACATAAAAACAACGTCGTTTTGTTTAATGAAAAGAAACGGCATCTGTTTCCCGTCGTTCCGCACCCTTCCGCAAAAAGTAACTCTTTTATTCAGTTTCATTTTGTATACACTGCAGTTTCGGTTCAACACAACTACAGTTTCATTTCGATATAACTACAGTTTCATTCGATAATATAAAACTAATACGTGAGGTAGTGCTGATTTAGATGTACTGTAGTGTCGGTTGGTAATTAATATATACAAAATGTGTGCTCCGTTAAAATTAGCGGCGGCGTTTTGACCCATGCACCACGGTCCACGATATAATGATTGCATTTTCACATTTTGCAAATAAAAAATTAAATATAAAAATTAAACAAATAATTCATGAGAATAATAAACGAAAAATCAGAAAGATATAAAGTCAAACCCACAGTAAATGCAAAGGGTGTACTGTACACACGCTTTTCTTTGTCCGTCCAAAAGTAGCGTACCTAGCGGACTTGTAACCTATAGATAGGGCTATCGGAGATTTCTTGCATATTCATGAATTAAGGTTTCTTTTTGTCTATATTAATAAATTTTCAATTTAGTCTTTTTTTTTTTTTTGGATTGTCGAGGTAAATCCCACTTCTAACTTTCGTGAGTATGTGGGTAACCCTCGCCTTGCGACCCTAGCCGGCAAAGGGCCACAAGGTGGTAAATCAGCCTAGATTTTCCATAGCTGACCGGCTCAAACTCATCATGGCGGAGGATTGAACCCAAGACCTCTCGGTCAAGGGCGCTACCTCCTTACCACTTGAGCTGGGGTTGCCCCCAATTTAGTCTTTTTTCATACTAATGGAAAATACAGCAAAAAGAAACTATTACTTTACCAGATTTTACTCTTTTATATGTGAAGGTATTGTCGTACAATTTTTTACTGCATATAAAATAACTATGAAGAGGTTTAAGAACAAAAATTATATTTATTTTATTACTCTAAATTAATTATTTTCATTATGGGTAAATGATATTAGCACTATTTTATTTATTTTTATATCTTTTAGAAAGACAGAGATGTCACAGCAATTGTAGGAACAATGAATAATACTCCATAGATTAATCAAGAAGTCAATTAGGCTCTTAAACTTTTAAAAGTTGTAATTAACCCCTTAAACATATTATTTTAGACTATTGAGACTCAAAAATCGATTGGTGACCTATAATTATATATCACCAGGGTTCCGTTGAACTTCCGGCGAAATACTGATCATATTCCGGCAAAAAACAGCGACGAAATGATCGCCGATGTCGTTTGGAAACCTATTTGGTTGTCTTCTCCGGAGAATGGAGAAGGCATACCAAATACCAAATCAATTGGTCTGCCTTCTCCTTCGCCGAAGAAAGCAACCAAACGACACCGACGATTGTTTCGCCGGTGTTTTTTACCAGAATATTTAAGTCTCTAGTTTTTACTATTACATTGGAAGAACCAATGGGACTAACTCTCTTTTTTTTTTTTTTTTTGTATTCTTTAAATTTTTTACGATATATATACATCATAACACAAAATCTGCTTCTAAATAATATGCTTGCACACATTTCAACTACAATATACGAAGTAACTATCCTCAATTAGAAGAAACTAATATATACATGCATTTCATTTAATTAAAATTACTCTCCATAAGGTTTAAGCCTTTTAACATTTTCTCTAATTAGGAATTATGTTCACAAGGCATTTGAAAAAAAAATGCACACAAATTTACAAGTTAAATTGTGTAATGCTAAGAGTTACCGACAATTTTGGAGTAAAAATAATTTTATCAAAGAAGCAAAAAAAAAAAAAATAATAATAATAATTTTGCCACCATCTTAAAAGAATTTCTTCGAATGATCAAGATTTCATTGAAACTTAATTGAATTGTAAAATGCAGATATTAGTATACATGAATAATGAAAAAAAAAAAAAAAAAACTTCTTTCATTGTTCTAATATATTTACAAACTACAAAAATTTGTGTGAGTCAGTGTCACAAATTTTTATTTGTAAGACAGTCTTACAGAAGATTTACTCAATACAGAGAAATGCACATATACATAAAATCTAAAAGCGATGCACATTGTACTCAAATGACACATTTGTGTCTTTTCTAGAGGGAAGGTCACAGGACCAAAACCTGGTGATGAGGTATTAACTCTTTGAGCTGTAAGCCTGTAATAGATAGAGAAAGCTAAGTATAGAACATATATTACAAAGAGTTAATACATAAAAATTAAAGTGATAAAACAACAACTTGGTACAATCATCAATTATAGAATACGTACAACCCATACATAAATTTGGAACAAGTCATTTGTCTTAATCCCACCAGACCAAACAAAAAGCAAGAGACAGTGCCCCAACTGCCTCCTAAAAAGTTCTCAACCTAATTCATTGCTTATATCATATATTTATGTGTGTGTGTAACAAACGCATCAAATCACAAAGACAACCTAAGCATTATCATTTAATAATTCGAGTAAAATCAAAAGTGACAACCCTAAAACAAGGGCCGCCTGCATGTTCTTAACTTTTAAGTCCCCCAAATTAAGCCTTTTATGGATTCTTCTCTCCCTCCCTCCCTCCCTCCCTCCATTTATCTCTTGTATAATCCAAATTTAGCTGGGTAGATCAAGTGCGAAAAAGGACTTTTCGTACTCAATGAGTGTTTTTATGTAAATGTACTTGTATAATTAAATGTGTATTTTTTGTATCTATAGAGATGTGGATTAAATGACTTAAATATTTTATAATTTAAACTCGGGAGGTGTGGTTGGGTGGGTGGTACTCATCAATCTTTAATCAAAGGTCAATGATTCGATCATTGGTTTTGAGTATGAAGCAGCCTTAAATCTTCAAGTCAACCGTTCCACCCAAAAGAAGTGCCTACAATTTAGCGATGAGATTAGTCACGGTGTATGGTAGAAACTCTGGATTCACCCAAAAAAAAATATCTTCTAATTTAACCACTATCGCATAGGAATAATACCCATTAAAGAATGTTTGCACCATTGAGGATTACTTGTGTTTACTTTTAATGAATTAAAATTGTAAAAGAGATAATTCTATTTTTTGTCTTAAATTTATAAATAGCACTCTACATTAAGTCTTTTTTTATCATAACATTTATTTTTAGTCTAAATATTATTGTGGTATATAAATGATCATTTTTGGTCCTTTATCAACAAAGCAATTTAATAAATATTATTAAATACAAGGACATTTCGGTTTTTAATTATGAATACTTTTCAAAAAAATTAAACATAAAAAATATAGCGTTTCAACTTACAAAGATTAAATTTGTTTGTATTTAACGACATTTCAACGGCTTTGTTAATGTAGGACTAAAAATGATTATATTACAATAATACTAGAACTAAGTGAAAATGTTCAAATTAAAAAGGGCTAAAAGTGGACTGTTACATGCCAAAAATGAAATTTAAAATCTTGAATTTATAGCACATATCACAACACAATGCAAAATGGAGAAATGAGTTTATTACATACAAACAAAAAAAGAAAATAAAGGAAAACAAAAATGATCATTATTATTTCTTGATGATCTTCTTATTATCTTTACCAGTCTTAAACAAAGATCCCAACCCAAAGAGATTAGTATTCCCCATGGAGATACAACTAGGGGGCGGCACATTGAGCACCGGATTGATCCGAACGGCGCCGTTTCCATGGTTGGTCCTTAACGGAGGCTTCTGCGACGATAATGGAAACTCATAAAAGTGAACCGATGGAGAAGACGACGATGATGATGAAGATGGAGTTTTCTTCTTCGTTTGCTTGGAGCCAGTGGAGCTGCTGCGTGGCAAGGAGTGAAATGACCAACTTGACCCTCTCTTCTGGCTGTTCTCACAGTGCAGACTGCTGCTCCTCCTTATGCGCCAGAAAGGCCTAGACTGACTTTTCACCTTCGAGGCTTCATTGTCATCATCTTTTTTGGACGGAGAAGACGACGCCTGGGGCTTTTGGTGAAGAGGGAGAAGGAAGCCATTCGAAAAGATCTCACCTGCGCAAGAGGTTTCTGTTTCCGTTTCAAAAATGTTGCAGAAATGGAAGTCGGAGTTGGATTCGGAACGGTAAGGGCAGTGATCTCCGGTGGACGAAAGGTGGTGGGAGAATGAGATTCTTGGGCTGCCGGCGGGAGTTTCGCGGACTGCATCCATATCGGCGTTCATTGTTCAGCTTAGAGAGAGAGAGAGTGATCTGATGAAGAAAGAAATGGGAAGAATTTACTAAGATTTTGAAAGCAATCTATAAAAGACTGGCATTCACGAATTTAGAGGAAAAAAAAAAGAGTTAATTCCATCGAAGGTCCATTTTCTTTTGTGCCAATTACAAATTTAGTCTTAGACTGTTGTTTTTGTCATTTTACATCTCAGACTATCATTTTTCGGACACTTTTAGTCATTCTCATAATTTTTTCTATTTTTAATAAGGGCATTGTTGTCCCTTCATATTTTTCTTTTGTTATTTTTCCGATTTCAGCTAGTTTAATTGGCTTAGGACTTTACTAAAAATTGATTGAAAAATATGGTTACTAAAAATCAGAGGTTAGTTAAAGTTCTAAATCAATTAAACTGGTTGAAATCGGAAAATAACAAAAGAAAAATATGAAGAGACAAAAATGCCATTACTAAAAATATAAAAATCATGAGAAGGACTAAACGTGTGCAAAAAATAATAGTCTGGGATGTAAAATGGCAAAAACAATAGTTTGGAACTAAATTTAGAATTGCCACCAAAGACAAGGGACCTATGATGAAATTAACTCAAAAAAAAAAAAAAAAACATAACAAAAACAATGGGAGGATGGACTCTTCGGAAGTCAAAGAATAGAGGCGTAGAATTGATTCAATTGAAGTAGATATAGTTTGATCTGAATTATTACACCATCCCCAATTGATGGTTTTTGGGTGATTTTTTGTGGGGACCATGTATATGTGGAGGTAAGAGAAAAATGAGAGAGAAGATTTGCAATGGAAAGATTGATTTTTCGCCTCAACAGTAAACTCCACCTAAAAATACAAAATAATCGCATGGTGCACGTGAGGCGCATCGCCCAATTTTTATTTTTTTTTAAACTCATTTTTCTTGTTTATTTTTTTCTCCCTACTTGGCATCTAAAAAATTGTGCAAAAACTAAAATAATGAGTAGTTGGTCAGCTTAATGAGTAAATGACAGGTTACTGTGAAATCAAGAGTTATATTGTTCAAGAGTAACCAGAAATTTGACAACGTAATGAGTAAATGACAGGTTATTGTGAAATTAAGAGCTATATTGCTCAAGAGTAACCCCAGTTAAGGTCGCAAGACATTCTCCGCTTTGAAAGAGGTAACCCAGTACGAAAAACATGATTCTAACTGTACCAAGGGTCATTGGCTGCTACAGGGTATCAACCGTACCGATATAGTCTTCATTCCTAAGAAGGGTAGGCCAGAAACCATGTAGGATTTACGCCCAATTTCTTTATGTAATGTGGTGTATAAGGTGGTGGCAAAGGTTTTGGCTAACCGACTTAAGGTTATTTTGTGTGGTTTGATATCACCTAACCAGAGTGCTTTTGTGCCTGGTCAGTATATCACGGATAATGTGTTGGTGGCATTTGAGACTCACCACTGTATGAAGAGGAAATGGCAGGGGAAGGAGGGTTTTGGAGCGCTGAAGCTCGATATGAGCAAAGTGTATGAAATGGTAGAGTGAGCTTTTTTGGAGGGTGTAATGTTGTAGATGGGTTTTAGTGAGAGGTGGGTGGAGCTGGTTATGTGTTGTGTGTCTACGGTGGAGTATAGTGTGTTGTTGGAAGGGGAGGGTTATGGGCCTTTAAAGCCGGGGAGGGGTTTGCATCAGGGGGATCCCTTATCCCCATATCTATTTATTTTAGTGGCAGAATGGCTAAGTCCCATGCTTAGGCGCCAGGAGGAGTGTGGGGTGGTGCATGGGTGGCGGTGGCTCGTGGGGCGCCTAGGGTGTCCCATCTTTTATTTGCTGACGATTGTTTTATATTTTTTTTAGGGCTAACTCTCTTGAGGCCAACGTGATCTCTGAAATCTTGGGGAGTATATATTGGCTTCGGGGCAACAAGTTAACTATGATAAATCCTCTATATCCTTTAGTGGGAGTGTGATTGCTATTGATAGGGAAGTAGTGTGCAAGATTCTATGTGTGGCTGAGGGAGATATGAGTGGGCGGTATTTGGGGTTGCCGTCCTTGGTGGGTAGGAATAAAAGAGGTAATGGGGTTTATTCAGGATCGCATTCTAACTCGTATAAATGGGTGGAATAATCGGTTCTTATCCCGAGCAGATAGAGAGGTGATGGTTAAAACGGTGCTGCATGCGCTTCCTACTTATACAATGAATGTGTTCCTACTCCCGCATGATCTATGCTATGAGATTGAGAGCATTCTTAATCGATTTTGGTGGGTGGGGGGAATACAGGACGAGGTGGGGGTTAAATGGATGCGGTGAGATAAGTTGTGCGTACCAAGAAGTTAGGGGGGAGGGGGAATGGGGTTTAGTAGGGTTAGGGAGTTCAATCTTGCTATGTTGAGTAAGCAAGGGCGGAGGTTGGTTCAGAATCCGAACTCGTTGGTGACTCGGGTGTTTAAGGCTCGGTACTACCCTACAACGTTATTTTTAGATGTCAAGCCAGGGAGTTGCCCGTCTTATGTATGTCATAGTATATGGCAGTCCTAGGGGGTGCTGAAAAGAGGGTGCTGCTGGCGGGTGGGTGATGGGAAGGATGTGCAGGTGTGAAGGGATGTGTGGTTGCTAGATAAAAACAACAGGAGGGTGGAAATGGAGATGCCGGCTTCGTTGGAGGGTACGAAGGTGTGTGCTTTGTTCCAAACGATGGGTAGGCAGTGGGATTCGGAGGTGGTTAGGGACATTCGTAATGAGAGGGATGCTAAGCTCGTTCTGTCTATCCCTTTATCTAGAATGGAGCATCGCGACTCGCTATTTTGGGCTGCGGACACAATGGGTCATTTTACGGTGAGGCGTTGCTACCGGTTTTTGGTAGGGGAGTGTGAGGTTGGAGGGTGGTTTGGGAGGACGGATGTGTGGGCATTGAGAGTACCCCCAAAGGTTAAAACGTTCATATGGAAGGCTTGCTCAGGATGTCTTCTCACGGCTAATGTCCTTCGGAGTAGGCGTTTGCCATACTCGGTGTTGTGCAGGTTTTGTAATGAGGAAAATGAGACAAGCTTGCATATTTTCTTTACTTGCACGATGGCAAAAACTTGTTGGAGGCGTATTGGTGTACTTTTGGATGAGGTTGTCTTGGAGTGTTTCTGCATGGGGCTTCAATTCCTGTAGGGAAGTCTTGGGATAATGGATGGTTTTGCTAGACAGAAGAATGGTTTGTACTTGATCAATGATCCACCAAGCAAGAAAAGAGGGCAATTTAATAGCATCTTTACTGAAACTCAGTGTAATAGTTTGACAGTTGAAATGTAGCATTGTAGATTGGGACATTATCCCATCAATAAGATACCTCTGCTTAATGGAATAAAACCTATCTCCTTTCATAAACAGCTTGACTTTGTGTGTGATGCTTGTCACTTTGCTAGACATAAGAGGTCTCCTTTTCCAGTTAGCACTTCTAGACCTGAAAACTGTTTTGATTTGTTACACATGGATGTATGGGGTCCTTTTGCTATGGCAACCTTGAAAGGGGAACACTGTTTTCTTACCATTGTTGATGATTACAGTAGGTTCACTTGGATACACATGTTGAAAAACAAATCAGAAGTCAAGTCCACATTTCAAAACTTCTATAACTATGTATGCACTCAGTTTTCTGTCAAAATTAAAGTGGTGAGAGCAGATAATGAGACTGAGTTTCTAATGGACATTTTTTTTAAGGAAAAAGGATTGGTTTATCAGAGATCTTGTGTTTACACACCCCAGCAGAATGGGGTGGTTGAAAGAAAACACCAGCACATCCTAAGTGTAGCTAGGGCCTTAAGGTTTCAGTCTGGATTGCCCATAAAGTTTTGGGGACACTGTGTGATACATGCATCATACCCTATTAACAAATTGCCAATTGAAGTTATTGATGGAAAGACTCCTTATGAGGTGTTGACTAGGAAAACTACAGATTATGGCCAGCTCAGGCCCCTTTGATGTTTATGTTTTGGTGCAACAGTTTCACAAGGGAGAAATAAAATGCAGCCTAGGGCGAAGGAAATGCATTTTCTTTTGGGATTTCCAGCAAATGTAAAAGGGTACATCTTATATGATATTGTTGATAAAAGTGTTTTTATTTCAAGGGATGTCAAGTTTTATGAACTCACATACCCCTTCAAGGAGCAGAATACAGACTTCACTACTGAGTCCTATGAAACTGAGGGGTTTAATCCTTCATTACCTTTGGTTCCCATTTCCATTGAAGCAGAACCTCCCTCCTTGTAGCCCATTGATACCAAAAGTGGTAATAGAGTCATACCAGGTGATTATGCAAGCAGACATTCAGAGAATGAAGAAGGTCAGTCCCCTAACAGATTCATTGCACATAATAATGATGGTGATCAGTCCATTCAACATGTTCCTATCAACAATGAGGCTCCTAGTGAGGAAGTTATTGGCAACATGCCACCAGAGAATGGGGTGGACCAGCCACAACCTAGAAGGTTTGCAAGGCAGAGGGCAGTTCCTGCCAAACTAAATGATTATTACTGTTAAACTTTGCTGGGAAATAGATCAGGTTTGAGAACTTCTCCTCATTCCATACAAAAATTTATTTCCTATGATAACTTGCCTTCCAATCATAAGTCCTGTGTAGCCTCTATAACATCCACACATGAGCCATAGTCCTAAAATGAAGCAATGCAACATGAGGCTTGGAGGAAGGCAATGAACGTTGAAATAGAGGCCCTAGTTCAGAATGATAACTGGACATTAGTGGATCTGCCTCAAGGAAAGTCACCTATTGGGTGTAGATGGGTATACAGAGTGAAACACAAGGCTGATGGATCCATTGAGAGGAGATACAAGACCAGATTAGTGGCTAAATGGTATACTCAACAAATGGGAGTGGACTATATGGAAACCTTTTCTCCAGTTGCTAGAATGACCTCTATTAAAACATTCTTAGCTTTGGCAGTGGCCAAGAATTGGGATATTCAATAACTTGATATCAACAATGCTTTCCTACATGGGGATCTTGATGAGGAAGTATATATGGTTTTGCCTCCAGGATTTGAGGGCTCTAAGCCTAATCAAGTCTGCAAATTGCTTAGATCTTTATATGGCCTTAGGCAAGCTATTAGACAATGGAATGCTAAGTTGACAAAGCCTTACAAAATGATGGTTTCCTACAGTCCATTGTTGATCCTTCTTTGTTCACCAAAACTGCAAACAGTTCATTCATTGCCTTGCTTGTTTATGTGGATGACATCCTTGTAGCAGAAAAATGATTCATTTCAGATTCAGGAACTATAACAGATGCTAGACACTTCCTTCAAAATTAAGGATCTTGGCCAACTGAATTTTTTTTTTTTTTTGCGCATTGAAGCCTACAGATCTCCTAAGGGCCTCAATTTATGTCAAAGAAAGTATACATTAGAGATCTTGCAAGAGAATGGTTTCTTAGATGCAAAACCTGTTGCAACTCCATGTATCACAGGGTCCAAACTCACCACAACTGATGACACCTTGCTTAACAACCCTGAAATCTATAGAAGGTTGGTTGGTAAGCTTTTGTATTTGACAAACACAAGACCTGACATTACTTATTCTGTCCAACAACTGAGCCAATTTATGGATAAACCAAGGGACACTCATCTAGTTGCAGCTCACAGAATTCTCAGGTATCTCAAGGCTTCACCAGGAAAAGGTCTGTTCTATGCTGCTAATTCTAAAGTAAACTTGAAAGGGTTTTCTGATTCGAATTGGGCCACCTGCACTGAGACAAGAAAATCTGTAACAGGTTATTGTGTTTATCTTGGAGAGTTCTTGATCTTTTGGAAAACCAAGAAACAAGCCACTGTCTCAAGGTCCTCATCAGAAGTTGAGTATAGGGCTTTGGCTTCCACTGTTTGTGAGATTCAATGGCTTCTTTATTTGATGGCAAAATACCTCTCTTCTGTGACACCAAGTCTGCCATTGCTATAGGAGAGAACTATGTGTTTCGTGAATGTACGAAACACATAGAGATTGATTGTCATATTGTCCGACAAAAGGTGCTTGGTTGATGAGCATTGCATCGCACAGTTAAATTGCAGATGGTTTCACCAATGTTTTGCCTAAACCATTGTTTGACATCTTTCATGCTAAGCTGGGACTTCAAGACCTTCACACTCCAACTTACCAGGGGGGTGGGGTGGTGATGGAGGATCAACCAGCTTAGACTTCAAGGGCTTTTATGTCCTTTCTCATTTTGTTAGTTATAACTGCCTCTTTCCCCTTCAGTGTAATAAGCATCATATATGCTCTTCTCTTTCTGATTGTAAAACACTGTTCTATTCATTCAGCACAACACACAACTCTATTACCATCATCAATGAATGTTTCGTTTCTCTTTCATGCTCAAACACTAATGTGACTCAAGCCAAAATCATCAAGAAGGAAACTGGTTTCCTTCTCCTCCGTTGATTCATCAACGACCGTTACTTTATTGTCGGAAATATCGGTAGTGTTGGGCAGAATGTTGACTGGAACCCTAGTGACCCGTGATAGCAGGTCACAAACCGGTTTTTGAATTTCATTTCACCAAAATACAATATAATATTGATGGGACTTCTTAGGTAATGTTCGAGGACTTATTTGACCATTTTCTCTTAAACTAATAAATTTCAAATTAATTTTTTATTATTAAATACTTATTAAAATATAAAATGCAAACTAGTAAAATAATGTCATATATTTCTTTAAGATATAGATTATCATGATCAAATTGCTTGCTCGGATTTGATTACCTACCAACCAAATTAATTAATAAATAATAAATCTGTCGTGGATTAAATGAAGGATGCATGACAAGACCTCCAACTAACTTCAATATCTTCCTACATGATGAGCAATATGTTTTTGCTAATATATATAACTAAGTCAAACATATTAATAATTACTACTTGAACTAATTAGACATAATTCTGATGTAATGAATAAATCCAAACATTTGCTAACACCCACCAAGCCCCCCTCCCCCTCCTCAAATACTATACTCAAAATATACATACACATAAACTATAATTAAAAGGAGGTGACACCTAAAACTCATAAATTCAGTTCTTACCAATATCTTTTTGGTCTTGAACGTAACACATGACATATAGTCTTATTATAATTTAACTCCGATCCCTCAATTGTTATATTGTGAATCTGGATTCAATATCATGCGCAATACAAATCTTGCACTAGCTAACATATTTTATACCTTTATTTAACATAATTTGTTAACTAAAGTACATAATATGTTAAGTACAGATACATAATATAAATTATAGAGTCCGCAATGTGTATAGTAGACCTTGGTCCACGATATAATTTGCATACTATTTCATGTGTGGTTTGTACGTAATTACAGGAGAATGAAGGTTACCCATTGCCAACTCTTGCTTAGAAGTTACCAGTTTCACTCGTCAACAACAACAATAATAATTTTAAAAATATACTTTCATTTTTACATTATTAGAGATTTAAGTTTCAGCGAAGAAAGTAATGTTAAATTTGAGTGTAACTTTTGTTTGTAGAAGTGTTTCTTCTATTTGATTAATTTAGTAAAAAAACTTTGTATTCATTAGTTGTAAATGATAGGAAAAAATTTAAGGAGTACGCATATATTATTAGCTATAATTAGTTTATATTAATGCTAATTATAATAATGTCATCATTGTTATAAATATTTTATTATTATGGCCATTAAACTTGTGACCTTTTGTTAGCCTTTACTTATTTCATTACTTATTGAAATTGCACCGTGAGACTTGAAATCAAAAAGTAATGTATGTTTACTTGTTTTCTAAGTTATGCACCAGTTACGTTCATTAATTAAACTTGATTAAACAAATATAAATAATGAAGACAGAAAGCATAAAATAAAGTAAAAACACAGAAGAATTGTTACGCAGTTCGGAGCTCCTTCTCCTACGTCTGCGGGGCACCCCACGTCTGCCCAATCCACTATAGATGTTCACCAAAAGGAGTATTACAAGAGGTAAATACAGATGGCCTCCAGCCTTTACTACTACCACTCTTTCTAACACCTATCTAGGACCACTACTACAGAAATGATATACTACGTCGCTTAATAGAAGACGGTTTTTTAAATAACCGTCTTCTATTATACTTTGTTATACTACGACACATAATAGACGTCGGTTTTCTAAATAACCGCCTTCTATTATATACTACGGCACATAATAGACGGCGGTCTTTAAATAACCGCCTTCTATTATATACTACGACACTTAATAGACGGCGGTCTTTAAATAACCGCCGTCTATTATATATGGCGTCACTTAATAGACGGCGGTTGTTAAATAATCGCCTTCTAATATATATTTACGTCACTTAATAGACGGCGGTTTTAAATAACCGCCTTCTAATATATATTTACGCCACTTAATCGACGACGGTTTTAAATAACCGCCGTCTAATATATATTTACGTCAATTAATAGACGGCGGTTCTTAAATAACCACCGTCTAATATATATTTACGTTACTTAATAGACAGCGGTTGTAAATAACCGCCTTCTAATATATATTTACGTCACTTAATAGACGGCGATTTTAAATAACCGACTTCTAATATATATTTACGCCACTTAATAGACGGCGGTTTTAAATAACCGCCGTCTAATATATATTTACGTCAATTAATAGACGGCGGTTCTTACACGGCACTTCAAGAACCGCCGTGTATTTATAAAAATAACCGCCGTGGTAAGTGTGTTTTGTAGTAGTCGACTGACACACGAATGCTTGAACAATCTTCACAAGATGCTTCAGCTGTACCACGTACAGGTCATGTATTACAGATTAAATATTCTTAACAATTAAATAACATAGCAGATTAAACCAGGAAGCTTTGTAATAAAAATGTGCACTCAGAATTGTGATCTCAAAATCGGCAATCTTCCTCTTTCGAACAGCTTCCTTTTATAGTAGTGTGTATGAATTACCATGATCCTTAAAGTCAGCATCTCACTCCTTCAATTATTCCAGGCCACACGTTTTTGTTAGAAGCCTTCATTTGTGCGCTGCTGATGACTCTTCTTTTCATTTGACAATTCATATCATCCACTCAATTACTTTGATAGATATCAAGTGATCCAAGGAAGGATTAATGCTAACAACACTTAATTAAAACTAATAACAGTAATACTAAATAAAATAGCCAATAAGGTTTTTAACGTGTATAAATAATTTTACACTTACAATCTCCCCCTTTGGCATTTTATTTGGTAAAACTCAAGTATCAAATACTTTGGACAAAAATTGAAACATAACCAGTTTAGTTTTTATTTAGAGCCCTTAGTATAGGTACTGAACAAGACATAGTGACATAATAAAAAAAAAATTAATATAATAATAATAAAAAATTAATCTTAATTCCTTTTCGGATCACATGTCAATAGTATACCTGATTAAACTTCTTCAAGCCTCCAAACATAATCACGAGTGGACCATACACAGTAGGAGCGAATAAGCAGCAGATCATTACATAATTCAACTTGTTTATGCGAGTAGTAGCTCAAAAACATACCATACAAATGTCATCAAAATTACCATAAAGACTACTAATCCCCCTAACAGAATAATCCTATTATTTCCATAAAAGTTTACCAAAAATATACCTTAACAAAAACTTCCAAAAGATATACAAGATTATACCTTAAAAGCTTCCAAAACCACAACTAATACCATCATACCATCATACTCCCCCTTACTCCAAAAACTCCCCCTTTTTGCCAAACATCATAATAGTGAATTAGGTTTACGGTGCAGACGGGGTGCCCGAGTCCGAACCATCATCTTCGTCTTCAGAACCGGAACCAGACGAAGCAGCACCAGTGTCGGCTAAAATCTGGGCGTATATGTCCTCCATGCGACCAATTTCCTTGAGTTGAGCATCACGTAATTTTTCAAGGCTGGAAATCGTGGCTTGTTGAGAGGCAACTGATTGTTGAACCTGAATAATTGAGGCCTCAAGTGGAACTACAATTTGCCGACGATCAACCAAAGTCTGAGGCTCTTTAGGAATCGGTTTGGAACCCGGTCGTGAGGCAGGCACAGTGTCAGCAGACGAAGCTGGAGCAGAAACCAGTGGAGCAGGTGGAAGAATGTCGGGAAGCGTATTGAGAGAAACTCGATCATCATAGTGGCCCTTTTGCGTGAGACGATCATCATATTGATAAACATTGTCATGAGAGGTAATAATTTCTTCCTTAGACGGCTTAAATCCATGCTCTTGAAGAACTCCAAAAATCAAACTCGGATACGGTAGATGAACCTTGGCTTCTTTCTTCTTCAAAAAAGTCATCAAGTGAGAGAAAATAGCCACCCAAGGTTGAAAGGAAGACGATTTTTGATCTTGTAGAGTAGCGCGGCCAACTGTTCCGAAACAAGATGATGACGTACTACCGGGATCCAATTTGTAGACGCAAGACGAAGAAGAACGAAGTAAACAGTGGTGAGCTTCAAACTCGTGAGTCCTTCACTCGGCCAAGAAACATCTTTGTTATGAGTCAAAGCGGCAGCCAATAAGTGCGGACTTGGATCCGGAGAAGCTGGATGATTCGGGGTTCCTAAGTAAGCATTGATCTCCGCTGGACCAAAGGGGTAGCATTTGTCCCGAATAAAAACCTGATGAAAGTGTGCCGATCCTTCAGTAAATGTGTCCATCGTAAGATTGGTATAAAATTCGGTTGTCAACCAGGCTGAGTATGGACCAACATGTCGAAGAGAGGCTAATAAATTCTGATCACGCAGAATGGGTATGATGTTGCATTTTTCTGCCAACTCCTCCTCATTAATGGATTTTTCCAAAATAAAATCCCTATTGACATGGACCTTCCAATCGGCTGATAAGGCAGGTGAGAGAAGCCGTGGCTTATAAGTCTTGCTGGTCCCCTTTGATTTCGAACCGGATGGAACTGGTACGGCCGG